AAAAACTAGTAGCACTTTAATACTTTGGGCAAACAACAATTAAATAATTTTTATTAAAAAAAAGCCCTTAGAATAAGTGCCATACAATAACCTAAGGTAAGAAAAAACATTACCTAAAGCTCTTGTAGACCATGTTCCATCCGTGAACTCACTGTATTAATATAGATGATAACCAACAAATAGATTAGCTAAATAAAAGCTGATCGTCCAATAATAATAAGTTTCACTGTTACGATAACAATAACCATAATAGAGTCGTAGTCAAGCCATACCAAAAAATTACCATATGTTGTAGTCATAAGTCAAAAGAAGTAGTCAAGCCATACCAAAAAATTACCATATATATGTTGCAGTCATAAGTCAAACCAATACATCAACCACCTAACTACTACTCCCCCTTTCTTATGTCCCCCATTATTTCATATTCCAAAAAACAACCAGAGGTTTACCAAAACAAATCCTATATGTTGCAGTCATAAGTCAAACCAATACATCAACCACCTAACTGCTACTCCCCTTTTCTTATGTTCCCCCTTATTTCATATTCCAAAAAACAACCAGAGGTTTACCAAAACAAAACTCCCTCTTTCCAGAATATATCTCCCCCTTAATCCATAATCTCCTTTTTTGCCAAATATGTGACAAAATGAATGGTGAACATCATTAGCGGATCGGTATAACGTGCTAACGGGGTGCCCGACCCTCTTTCCCGTAAAATAGCAAGAAACTTATCCAACATTCATCCATATTGATCAATATTAATTGCCATACACCAAGAAGGTAGTGTTGCCATATTCATTCCATGTTCGCAATATATAGTAGAAAAACAATTCAAACATTCTTTATAAAAAGCTATCACACAACCAACAACACGAGAGTCTTAATAACATGATAATCCAAAAGATATGATAACCCAAATAATATGGTAACCTGGATAATCTGATAATCCGAAGAGTTTCAACCAAAAAGATAATCCGATATCCAATAATATCCACTAAAGCCAATAAGAGAAACCATATAAGGAGAATCCAATAACTAATACCAGATAGCTTTTGCTTGACGATGAGATAGAGAAAAAAACTCCATAATAATTCCTTTTTGATTTTTACGAAATCTTTTGCCACATGAACCTGCACAAGTGAAAATAGAAAAGAGAAACACAGAACAAGGTACTTGCAATCTTGAAAACGACTTAGCAAATAACAAAGAAGCACAAAAATTCAAGAAATTTTCAATTTGGGTCAAACAAGACAGGAAGATGATTCAGGCACAGAATCACAACAGATAGCATGAAAAACACACAACCAAAAAAAAACACACGGCCATGACCGGACCAAACAAATAACACAGAGAAATAAACACATTAATCAAATTGCACCAAATTTATCATTCAAGCAAACATGTTTTAACACAGGAAACATCAACAAAAAGAGAAGGTGGATAGATAAGAAACTAATAAGACCTGAACACTTGGCTTTTAAAAAGTGAATCCAAGATAGCTTTTATCACTGCTTAGCTTTAAGACTTAATTGGATTGCTGACGCCCTAATTTTTGATGCCACAACTCAGACTCATTTATGCTGGACCTGCAACAGAGGATATCATCGCTTACCTTCCATAACACATTGCTTTTCATTATCCATAACGCTGCAGTTGTCTTTGGTGAAGCTAACATTCCAGTTTTGGTCGCAAAGTTGGCTAATGCTTATGAGGTTGGCATGGAGTACGTTTACCAGTAGTACCTTTTTCAACTTGGGTAGACCTGCAACATTTAGAGTACCTACTCCGGTTACTTGTCCTTTTACTCCATCACCAAAGGTTACTTCACCGTTGCTTGTGTTTATGTCACTTAGAAATTTTACGTTTCCGGTCATGTGACGTGAGCAACCGCTGTCGAAGTACCATTTTTCATCCCTACCTGCATTTTTAGTGTGAAAGGATACAAGACTGGTATCTTCAGATTTCTTTACCCATACTTGTTTGATAAACGGAGTAATGTACTTATGGCTATGTTTTTCGGCCCTTTGTTCTTTGTAGAAGTAATAACACTCAGGTTTGACGTGTCCTCGTAACCTGCAATAGTGACACACAGGATTATATACCTTATAGTTAAACTTGTTACGTACTGTACCTCGTGTTTGCCTTGCTGAGCCAGTGGCAGGCGCTGATTCACGATATTGTTTAGCTGTGCTTGACTCAGGAGTATCTTCTGGACGTGGATCAAATGCCTTGACAAAAGTAGTTTTGTCTTTGTTAGTTCCACCAGTAAAGCCAATACCAAACCTTGCACAGGATTGCCACCCAGAACCAAGAATTTCATCAAGAGTTGAAGTGGTATCCATCATTTGAATTTTCTTTTTGTAAGTACTCAGTTCCAGCTTCAGCTCCTTGACTTCTTGTTTCAGTTTCTCTTGTCGGTCAGTGTATTCTTTAATTAATGCATCCCTATCTGCTACTTGACCTTTGAACACGTTTACAGCATTTTGCAATACTCTAACTTCACTAGACACTATACGATTTGCTTTAAGTAATGCTTCCCACTTGGGATACAACTTGTTAAACTCTACTTCGTAAGATAAATCTGGTATTTCAAGGTCTTCCGCCGAATTGTATTCACCACCCTCCGTGTTAGATGCATCTCCAGGTTCTGAACATGTCGCAACTCTAGCAGTAAAAGCTACAAAATTACCGAACATTTCTTCTACGTCAGAGTCGGCAGCTTCTGATTCAGGTTCATCATCACTCCAAGTTGTGGCTGTCATGGACTTCTTTCGCCTAAGATAAGTTGGACATTCAGCTTGAACATGACCAAAGCCCTCACACTCGTAACATTTTATTCCTTTGTTGTTTGATTTTTCCTTGGACCGGGCTGGACGTGAGGCAGCAGTTTTTGAGTTTGACATGCCAGTTTTTGTACCAGTTTTCGACATGTTTGAGCTTGCTCCTTTTTGAAATTTTTTGTTTTGTGAATTCTTCTGAGATACCTGTTTCAAAAAATTAGAAAACTTTTTAGTAAAAAACGCAACTGGATCATCACCTGATTCGTCTGGGTTAGTGGTATCATCATGTTCTTCAGTGACAAATGCAACTGTCTTTTGTTTTTTGGTGTGATCAGTAAGAATTTCCATTAGATGAGCCACTCATTTGTTCTCCCAGCCATCGTGTTCTTGAATAGCGGTTACTTTCATCTTGAATCTCGGAGGTAAAGATCTTAGGATTTTTTTGACAAGTTTTTGTTGGGAGAAAGGTTTTCCAAGAACTGTTGCTCGATTAGCTAACTCTTGTATGCGTTCGTGAAAGCTCGCAATATCTTCGTCCTCGTTCATACGTAGTTCCTCAAATTCAATTTTTACCAGCTGAAGCTTTGACTGTTTAACTGAACTTGTACCTTCATAGGTGGTTTCGAGTATTTCCCACGCAGTTTTTGCACAATCAATACCTGTAACCAACGAAAATTGATTTTCATGCATTAAGGAATAGATTGTGTCAAGAGCCTTATCGTTATATCCAGCAGTTGTAATTTCAGCTTGAGTTTTCTCGGTTTCAGGTTTTATCACTGGTGGATCACCGTCATTTTCTCCAGGTTTTGTAGGTGGTGTCCAACCGGTTAGTACCGATCGCCAAACCTGGTCTCCTTGAGCTTTAAGGTGAGTTCTTGTTTGTGCTTTCCAATATGCGTAGTTGTCACCTGTAAGCTGGGGAAGTGGCCTGAATCTTTCCATTCTAAAGTACTTAGCAACCAGTGAGACTGAACAAAGTAATAATATGAAGAACAAAATTGAAAGCCGCTGAACGCTTAAAGATAAGGGACATGGAATAGCCAGATCGAAAGACTAGTAATTTAAGTCTCCTAGCTCTAAAACCAATTGAAATAATGTCGTGAACCTTAAAATAACAGAACCTAAAACTTCTACTTGATTTTTAAGATGAAATAGAATTAAAGTTAAATTTCGCTCGATTATTTTTTGTTATTTAGAGACAGTAAATAACAGAAGCAGAAATTAAATCAAGTACACAGCGATTTGTTACGCAGTTCGGAGCGCTTCTCCTACGTCTGCGGGGCAACCCACAGCCCAATCCACTATAGATGTTCACCGAGGAGTTTTACAATAGAACAATACATTAGACTATCACAGCCTTAGCTATCATACTACAAACAACCTTCCTAACATCCAACCTGGACTGTGACGTGCATGCCTTGATAACCCTCGAACAGTACTCCAACTGACTCAGGCACAGACCGTAGCTCAGCAGAATAATAAAATATATTTGATTCAATTCGTTAGCAGTAATATGATGTTCACTTCTCAAAATAATATTAAATCTCAAATTGGCAACTTCCACAATGATCTTCCTTTCCTTTTATAGTGATGAAGCTTCCAATTTCTCAAGGCACAAAAGTAGCTTTCCAACATAGTAACTCATTCTCGGCCATTCGTTTAAACACCACACATTTTGCTTGAACCATAATCTGTTAGTTGATTTCCCCATCATATCACTAATAAACAAGAGCCACTCAATCATTCACCATATGATGAATAAAAATGGTCCAAGAGCTTTGGCTAACCTAAGTCTATTATTTATAAAAATAAATTAGCCAACATATGTTTTAATATGTACAAAATATGTACACTTACATTTATTATCCTTGGGTCTTTTTCTCTTATATATTGCCCGTGAATTCGAAACCCCGTAATAATGGTTTTGTTTGCTTCAGTTTTGGGTGAAATGCAACCTCACCTCCATGTCAAAAGATAAATTGTTATGTTTAAGAAGGTAAATTTTCTTCTATTACTATATTATTATTTTCTTTTTGTTTTAGACCATGAAATGTCTGAGCATGTTCTAACTGTGTGAGACGCCTTTGAATAATTCAATGAGGATTTAGATATCGAGAATTGTGTATGAATTTAATAGTCAAAGCAAAATGGGGAGTTGACAAATGTTTAACTTTGACGATTTTGTTGTTGTCAATATAGTAATTTACCTTTTTTTTTTTCTTTTTTGGTTGGCAATAACTTCCATTTCTGTCACTTTGATTAAGGTATACAGACTCCATGATTGGATTTTGGTGCGTGCAACTTGGGCAACAATACATGATTCCAATTTTTAGAGAGTCTAATATTTATTTTTGACCTATCTACTTAAGAAATAAAAAAATATACAATTAATTCTAAATCTCATCAATTTTTTCAAAAATCACTTTTCTCTCCTAATCACCTGGCAATTCAAGTTGGGCTATTGGTACGTATGCTATTTTTAGTTGCATTAATATTAATTCAAATTGGAAGTGAATTGCCATTTAGCTAGTGTTACACCATTCATACTTAAAAAAGTATAGGTTGTTCAACTGGAATAAAGCTTGGTTATTTACATTTGAGGTCAAAGGTTTAATTCTCGTCATATATAGTTTTAAAGATTAAGCTTATATTTTTAGTAGGACCTCATTTTTTTTTATAAGAATGAGACCACAAAAATTCAATAACAGTCCAGACTCAGAAAACTAGGTGGTACAATATACTCTCTACAAAAATTCAAAAATAGCCCAGACTCAGAAAACCAGGTGGTACAATACACTCTCTACAAAAATCCAAAAACAGCCCAGACTCAGAAAATCAGGTGGTACAATATACTCTCTTTAATATCCTAACATCATCTATCAAAGGACAGACCAAAAAACTCTGGACTCTTGAGACATCATAGTATTGGTGGGGGAGGAGTTTCCCAGACATCAAATACATTCTCTTCACTGCGAAGAGCAAACAGTCGATCCCCGCCAATCGAGAAATCGCAGATCGAGCCACCATAGCTGCGATAAAGCCTCGATGTTTGAAACCAATCAGGGCCAGAATACACTGAAACACTGTCATTCATGGAAGAAAATAGCTGGCCTTGAACAATCCCATCCCACCATCTCCCCTCCCCAGCGACTCACAGGCACTGATCACAATCTTCCCGGAATCAATCCACACTGCATCATTCAATATCTGGTAATCAAGATTGATTGAAGGGTGTTCTTCCATCATCCAATCATAGACATGAGCCATACTCCCATGAATCACGCAGCAGCCGCCGTCCGGGCCGGCTCTGATGGAGGTGCCATCCTCGGGGGCACGGCCTGTCATCGACCGTGCCAGGCGGAGACGGTTGCCGTCAAATGGATGCCACATAGCTTCCCTGACGTGATCCAACACCCCATAAAACAGGGCCTCTCGGCAAACAAGCTTCTCCGGGACATTTGCCGGAATGTAAAGCTCCCCTGTTCTGAGAAGGTCGAGGATTACGGCGAAGCAATCCGGGTTCCGGTCAATGAAGTGTTCGGTTATAGTGGCGTCCGACAGGCTCCAATTATCGTCAAACATAGCTCCGAACAGCGAATTCCGGCCGGCGTTCGCCAGCGTCATGGCGGTGGTTTCAAATACTCTTCCGCCTACATTCAACCTCACCCTATCTCTCTGAATTCCCATACTTAGCAATCGGTTTGAATTTATCACCTCCGGAAAATTTTCCGGCTAGGAAACAAGATCAATCCTAGAAAATATCTTGAACTAAAAAACGAAAAATTCTTGAATTCAACAGCCTCTATAGAAGGAAATATTGATTACATGGAGCAGGAAATAATCACAGAGACAAAAGCAGAGTTCTTCTTGAATACGGATCATCAAGAACAGGCCAAAAGTAGTCGGAGAAGAATGAAGAGGAAAATGATCAGAAGTGGAGAAACTGAGGTATAGTAATTTACTTTTTAAGTCTTCCATTTTGGTAACGGAATTCTAAATATGGGTCCGATTTACGATGCTTTAAAAATTGGAATCGATCAGTCTTTTTATTAATCTTTAGTATCTTTAGTATACGAAACGATCAGTCTAAATTTATTGAATTAATGAAATTAATGATTCCTAATTACGAGTTGAAAATAAATATGAAACGATTTGCATCTTTTCGATTTCCATATACAACCTTTGATTAACCGATATTTTACATTTATAATGTCCAGTGGACTCTTTGATATCTGCAACTTTTTCGTTAATCCTCAATCTTATACTTATGTTCTATGCTATCTGTTTCCTTGTGTTACTTAGTTAGTTAGTTGTTTTAATGAAGTGTACATGTATATTATTATATTAATGCTTTTGATACTTATTTTGGATCGTGATTGTTTCTGGTCATGTGTATGATGACCTCAGGCACATATTTACATAATATATTTTTTTTTGACAAAATTTTGCAGGGAGGTGATTTAGGCTGCAGGTTTATTGAGGGTCCACTGGCTGCTTATGAAGATAAAAATAGAAGTTAGTCAATGAATTTCTGTAAGAGTTAGCATTAGGTATTAGGGATACATAAATTATCTGTTTTAAAGTTTTAGCTCTTCACAGTTGTGTGTGGTTCTCATGTAACATGAAGTTTTATTGCTGTAATATAAATGCATTGTATATAACTAAATATAATAATTTACCTTATCCCTGAAGCTTTATATTCCATTTTGCAGTTATTTCTATATCTAATCCACTTTTGTCTAACTTCCATAAAGTTCCAATCTACAAAGTAAATGAGTAAATTAACAAAAGCACTCTTAATTTAACAAAAAGAAATTTTAAATCTACATTGCCAGCTGGATAGTTGCGTACTGTATGTCTGTATCTGAACATGGTGAGAAAAAATCAAGAGTTAATACCCAGTTTGATCCTCTGACTATTAGCTAATACTTGATTTAGTAAAGTATTAAAAGTACTTAATTTAATCCTCTTACTTTTAAAATCTCACCTAATATGGTCTTCCGTTGTAGTTGTTGTCTATCTACCATTATTTTGAGGGCATAAGCGTCATTTTAGGTGAGTCCAAACCCGTTTCTTCATATGGTCTCTGTCGCGACTCAATTGACTAGCCTGAAATAGAGGAGGGGGTCGCATCTTGCTGCTCAGCCGCCGAACCACCACATGCTACGCCGGAGCTCGTCGGAGGGGAGGTGTGCAACGCTAGAAGGTCGCCGGAACACGCCCATCCATGTCACCTGCTCGTCGATCTGTTGCTGCCGCTGGCTACGTCGAGCGAAAGGAAGGGAGAGACGAAGAGGAAGGAGGGTGAGAAGGTTGAAGAAGACGGGGGCTGTTCTTGTTTGTTTTTGGCGAGGGAGAAGAGGCTGAGGGCTGCTTGTCGATCTTCTGCAAATGGCGTGTATAGGGCTGAGGAGGATATATATGGTAAGGGGTTTTCTCCCTCGACAATCGGAGGATGCTATTGGTGATAGGGAATGGTCGAGAACATCCCCTGCTGCTTAGATTGTTGATCGGAGGTCACCGGAAGTTCTGCGTTTTGTTATGGGATCGGCGAGTTTCCAGCGTGCAGAGGAATCTCGCAATGGAACATGCGGTAATGGGTTTGCCTGGGAAACAATGTGGGGTTGTGTTCCATTATTGCGGGATTTTAAAAATGGGTCTTGATTGTGACTCGTTTGTGGCCTAGGCTTCTCAGGATAAAGCATACAACGGTTCGACGTTTGAGCACCCAAACGAACGAACCCGGCGAAATAGAGCACGGGCAGAACACAGCTTCAAGAATAGAGTAGGAGCAGAGATTTTGTAGCTGGGAAAACTAAATTTTCTGTGTTGTGTGTTGTGTGTTGTGTTCCAAGTCTGTAGTTCTTCACTACTTGTTTCTGCTTGTACTTAAAACTGCTGCTCCCAAAACAAGTTTATATAGGAGATAGGTACTTGATAGCATTCATTTGACATTTATTCTGATATTTAAAAATCCTGTTGTAACAGCCCAAGTTCCTCCAAAAGCGCAAAAATTATTAAAAATGTCAACTCAACTGCCACATAAGCAGGTAACCTGCTAAAATTGATGATAACCTGCTATTCGGTGAAATTGCATACATTTGAAGTGTTTAGTGGCCTTAATTGTAATTTTTGGAGTGTTCAGTGACCTAATTGCATCTTTTTTTTCATTTAGTAGTCTGATTATATTTTCAAATTACGTTCAGTGACTAATTTTAACCTTATTTCATTAAAAAATATGAAATAATTAGGAAAAAGTAAACACTTGGATAAATACATGCTATGTAATGTAGCCACAACTATAACAAAAAGTGATGAACCTGAGGGCTGAGCCCCCAACCCTGGTTGCTCTCACCCACAGTTTGAGCAATCAAAACACTTCGGCCCCACCTTATTCATCCATCTCCTGGACCCCCCATCACGTCCTGCCTATACCACCTTCAATTAAATACTCCAAAATAAGCTCCCCAAACGGAAACCGCCACGTGCCCATCATCCTCAGCTCTCTCCTCCGATTATATGCTTCGTTCTATCCTTTCTCTCACATGCCACCTCTCTGGCTCTCTCTTCTAAGACTTCTCTCTCTCTCTATCTTGTCTTCCCCGTACATCTAGTAGCCAGCCGCCATTTCTGGTTAAATTTTCCGGCTGCCCCTCGAATCAAACCCAGCCCGCACACAGATATCCTCTCTCTGTACTCACAACATTAAAAACATAAAAACATGCATCTCTGTATGTCAGTTCCATTCTACATCTTTAACTCGACAACTTTCATGATTTGAGCTCGACCCAAATTAGAACTCTTAACACTCTCAAAAGGGTAGCCTTTACTTTCTCCGTTTCTTGAAAGATGTTCAATGTTTTGTAGCTTAAACAAATCAAGATTATCGTAATCGTACTTTTTTTGTTTGGTGGGGTTTCTTGATTGTGTATTGTTGTACTAGCTAGGATGAGTTTGAGGGCGGTGGAGGAAGAATCGGGGTCGGAAATTCGTCTTCCGGCGGACGTGGACTGGGAGATGTTAGACAAATCAAGATTCTTCTTCCTCGGCGCGGCGTTATTCTCCGGCGTCTCGGCCACGCTCTACCCGATAGTGGTGTTGAAGACGCGGCAGCAGGTGTTGACAGCGCGGATCCCCTGCCTGAAGATGTCGGCTTCCATGCTCAGAACCGAAGGGCTCCGGGGATTCTACAGGGGATTCGGGACATCCCTGGTGGGAACCATCCCGGCGCGTGCGCTATACATGGGCGCGTTGGAAATGACGAAGAGCAGCGTCGGGACGGCCGCGGTCCGGCTGGGGTTCTCCGAGGCATCCGCGGCCGCCATAGCCAACGCCGCCGCGGGGCTGAACGCGTCCATGGCGGCGCAGGTGGTGTGGACTCCGATCGACGTGGTTAGCCAGCGGCTAATGGTGCAAGGAGCCGGAAACGGCGGATTCAAAAGCTACAGCGGCGGATTAGACGCTTTCCGGAACATAATTTACAACCATGGCGTCAAAGGATTATACAGAGGATTTGGGGTTTCAATTCTCACATACGCCCCCTCCAGCGCGGTATGGTGGGCTTCTTACTCCGTATCCCACAGAGTAATTTGGGAGAGAACCAAGAAGGCGGAGGGGAAAGCCGCCTCGGTGGCGGTGCAAGGGCTGAGCGCCGCCGTGGCCAGCGGCGTCTCCGCCATTGTCACAATGCCGATGGACACCATCAAGACAAGAATGCAAGTGTTAGACGGAGGAGAAGGGAATAATAATATGCGGCGGCCGCCGACGGTTGTTCAGACCGTGAGAAACCTAGTTAAGGAGAGTGGGTTTTGTGGTTGTTACAGAGGGTTGGGTCCGAGGTGGGCCTCCATGTCCATGTCTGCAACCACCATGATCACTACCTATGAGTTTCTCAAGCGACTATCAACCAAGAGACAAGAAAGATTTGTTTCATTAACTTAGAGTAGCAGAAGATGAACAATTAAGAGAGGCTTTTGTTACAATTACACGCGTTGTTGTAGATCTTATTTTGTTTTAGTGTAATAGTGTTATGAATCTTTTATGGTATACTAGATTAATCCCGACATATATTATATTGAACCCCTTGAGACTTTGTTAATTTACCAAATCCTAATAATTGATTAGAGCAACACTAATATATAGTAGGTTTTTTTCTAGGCCTCGCTAAAGACATGGTTTTTTGTCTCCAACGTGAAACCCACCCAAAAAACTCATATTATTGCAAATTCATTTTAATCTCTCTCATCTCTCATCTATCTTCCATGTCAACTTATCTCTCTTTTGTCAGCATGGGCAACTCAGTTGGTCACAAGAATGAAGTTTGTGAACAATGATCCGGGATCGAGTCTCACTAGTGACAATGTGAGAGTAACCTCTCAAGTGAAGGGCCCTTTGGGAGAAGAGGAGTAAGCAAATGTCTGTGTCCAACTAATTACAATGATTTACATTCTCTCATATGCTATGTCGGACCGAGTCAATACCCTCAATGTTCACAAGACTACAATCCACCTCAACATCTTTTCCCACCACAAGATTACTCTCCAAATCCATACCCTTCACCCATTCATTACACACCATACCCCCAAGACACTCATCCCTCATATGATCATCACATTCATTCACCAAGTGTTGGGAAGTTTGGAGTAGATGAGGAGACCTTGGCATTGGCTAGGCGTTGGGGGGTCACTATTGTACCCGATGATGACATTGAGGATGATGGTTATCTCATGAGACCAAGTGAAGAAGAGTATGCTAATAATAAATGGGAGCAAGAACCTCAACAAGAATGTCAACCATTTGATCAAGATCCCGAGATGAAGTTGATGATGGCCAACATGTTTATGCAAATGAATGAGCTACAAGTTCAAGTAGACAACATGACAGCTCAAATACAAGGTTTGGCAACTCAAGAACCCGTTCAAGATTTTTCTTCCAATGGGGAGGTTTTACAAGAGTTGCTCTTGCCAAACGAAGGTCATGTGTTTGAAGCAAATGAAAAGATAGGTGAGGACCTCAAAGATAAAGATGAAGATGATGAGGTTTATGATGAGTGCATTGAGATGGAAACACCAAGTTGGGGAGAGAGTATAGGGTTGCACGGGAATGGTGATAATGAACAACTTGAAGATGGTCCAATTGAAGAAGTGCAAGAAAATGATGGTGTTGAGGAAGAAACAAAAGATGAGAGTGTTGAGGAAAAAAGGGAAGAGAATATGGAAGTTGGTGACAAGGATCACATTGAAAGTTGCCCATTTGAAGAGAATTTGAAGGAAAATGTAGTTGGGAGAACGCAAGGCTTAAATGAAGAACTCCCTTTAATGGAGCATGTTGAGAATTTTAGAAGAGTTTGGGAACCGGGAGGAGTTAATGGTTTTGAGAGTATTGGCCCACATTGGCCGATATTCATATCTAAGGACTCCCAATTCTTATTGGTGAATGACAAAGTCCCAAAGTTCTCCTTGCTTATTCAAGATGGGAAATGTCAAGAAGAGAAAAGGTGTGGAACTAAAGAGAATGATCAAGCTCTTGTGTATTATCATGATCCAAGGTTTAGAAAGAAGACACCATTTGATTTGTGGATTAAAAATGGATTTGAGGAAGGGGCATGCTTGAAGTTTGATTTGGATGAGCATTATTTCTTAAGCTTTAAAGTGGTTATGTTGAGCTTAAGGGAACATATTGATGGCCACCACTTGAAGTGCTATTTGGAAGAAAAGATTGAAGAAAAAGAGATGAGAATTGAAGAAGAGAGCATATTCTTGGAAGTGGGTCATTGTAATTTCTTTGAAGAGAATATGCTACTTTTGAGCTTAAAGGAGTTCCTTAATGCCCGGCATTTAAGGACATTTATTGAAGAGAAAGTGGATGGAGAAAAGGAACTCATCTTCATCTAATCATGCATGGATAGTTCCTTGAGAGGTTGAGTCGAGCTAGCGACGTTAAACTTAGCGCTTCATGGGAGGCACCCCATGTTATCTTTCATTTTATTGCACTTTAATTTCTTCTTTATTTTTCTTAGCACTTTTATTTTTGTTATATCATGCTTTCACCTGTGCTTTCATGTCTATACGCTCTTGACTCTAGGAGTGACACTAAGGAGTATGCTCAATTCCAAGAAGGCTTCATGATGATTCTTTGGCACAAGAAGATTCATTAGGGGAGTCTCATCTACCTTCTCTACTTTCTTTAATTGTGTATAGTGCTTTACTTGGTGTAGATAGTAGAGATTGTGCTCCTTGTGTTTATTGTGCTATCCTTCCCCCCTTGTTCTTTGTTGTCTTTCACATCGAGGACGATGTATCCTTTAAGTGTGGGGGAGGGGATAATTTGGGTGTTTTCTATAAAAAATTGATTTTAAAAAAAAAAACTTTGCTTGGATGACTCATTGTGCATAATGTTTGGTAAATTACCTTTCCTTACTTGAAGTTGTGATTACTCCCTCTTTGTTGGTTGGTGGTTTGTTTTAGTGGAACTTGTTACAATTCAACTTGTGATTGATGAGCCAAGTGGTAACTCATGATTGATCTATTCTCTTGCCAATAACCTTAGCTTGTTAATCACTTAATAATTGAATCAATTCTTGATCTTGTGTGTTATGCATTGCTAGTGAAGGCTTATGTGAGATTCTGGTCATGGTTGTTTTGCTAGAACTTGCCTCATTAATACTCGTGTGAAGTCTAAGGTTTGCATGCTTAGAAATGATTTAGGCCATTTTTATTTAGCCCGAGCCTTTCAAGCCTACCCCTTACATATGTTATTACCCCTAGTTGTCCCCGTTGAGCCTTTTATTTGTTTAATAAGTGCTAAGCACTTGTCCCCTCTTTGTGATTGTTTTTCCTTGTGTTAACCCTCATCATTTAACCCTCAAGCCTTAGCCAAAATGTTTCCCTCCACCCTTGAGAGAATAGAGCATTTATTCTTTTTCTTGGAAGAGATCTTTATTGGAGCTTGTTTTGTTAGCAATCCTCTTGATAATTTTGTCTAAGTGTGGGGGTCTTGATTCGTTGAATAAGTTTGTTGGTTGATTTGAAATGAAAAAAAAAATGAAAAAAGAGAATGTTGAGAAAATTGAAAAAAAAAAAAGGTGTTGAAAAAGAGATGAATTGAGAAAAATGAAAAGAAAAGAAGAAGAATAAAAGTTTGAAGTTTGTTTTGAGATTTGTACTCAACCCCCACCACTTTAGAGGTTTGTTTGGTCCTTAAGTCTTATTTGCTCCTTAGTCCATAGAAGTTATATCTCTTCTAGCTCCAATTGTGAATAAATGTGAAGTTCTCTCCTTTGTTTATTTTCCTTACCTCTTCTTTGTTAACCTTTCACCCTTAGCCCCATTACAAGCCAAATAAAGACCTACTTGATCTTAGTATGCAATCTTAGAGTTAAACTAGTGGGAGTATGAAGGGCAAGCCTATGGAATCTCATTCAAGGCCAAGTTTTGCATAATTTCAACTTAGCATTTGTGCACACTTGATCCTCACGTACTTTAATGGTTTTGGTGCTTGGTTATTGGCTTGAGAATGGAACTTGTGTGCCAAGCTAAGGTGATTCTTGAAACAAGTTGTTCTATAGCAAGTTGGATTGTGGTTTGATTGGTTGTGCAAAATGGGAGTGTGATCAATTTCATTGCTAGGAAGGTGATTTATTTCTTGTTTTTGCTTGAGGACAAGCAAAGGTTTAAGTGTGGGGGAGTTGACAAGTGCATAATTGTTCATATTTATACCCCATGTCTACCCCATATTTAGCCTTGTTTTGCTTATGAAGTGTCACAATGTTGTTCAAAATGATTTTTATTTTGCTCATTTGATCCATTATGCACAATTCATTATCTTTGAGTAGAAATGAAGGATTTTAGATCATGTTGGATGCATTTGGAGTCAAGGGGAGCCAAGGTGAAGCTAAGGAGATGGATGCAACACTTCCAAAGGAGCAAAAGAGTGATGTTTTCAATGGCGTTGATCATATGGACAAATTAAACAAAGGCAAAAGTGGAACAAGTGTCAACAAGCTGAAATTCTCGCATGGATTGTCCACTATTCTGTTTTCGGGCCATATCTCGGTCTAGAAGTATCCAAATTAAGTGATTCTTGTTCCATTGGAAAGAACACTCAAAGATCTACAACTCATATTCAGACATCAAAGCCTAAAAAGGAAGACACAGGGGTCGAAATTATTCTTGAAGTTGAAGTTCCAAACTTACAATTCAAAACTGACCACTATTTGGTTTTTGGACCATATCTCATCCTAGGAATGTCCAAATGAAGTGATTCTTGCTCCACTAGAAAGAAGACTCAAAGGGCTACAACTTTCATGAAGACCATAGTTCCAAAATATAACTTTTTGAAGGCCAAACGACACGGCCAAGTGCACGGCCGTGTCTGTGGCCGTGTATTTTCTGTGCATTCCAGTAGCTACTGCTGTTTTGGAGTGTCACCTCTGCTGCAACTTTTATAAACTCCGTTTTTTGTCATTTTTGCTTGGTTTTGACTCTTGTTAGAACCCTAGACACTCATTTTCATTCTCCTTCATATTTTTAGGTTAGAATAGGCTTAGATTTATGTTTCTTAACACTTTTGAAGCTTGTAATCTTGGATTTGAAGCTTGGATTCCAACATTTCAAGATTCCACCATCCATTTTCAATAGAGAAGCTTCTTCTCCCTTTTATTTCTTTATCTTGCAATGTTTATGCTTTACACTTGTGTTTTTGTGTTCTTTATGCTATTGAATCATGAGTAATTAGTTTATGGACTTGAGTTAGGGTTGTATTTTCTATCTTGATGCTTGATTTGTGATTATTGCAAAAAAAGGGGGAAGAACTCCAACCTAGGGTTCATGTGTTTGTAAAGGTTTTGTATTTATATCTTGTTAATGTTTGATGTACACATTCATTAGCTTGTTTTTGGAGGATTCCTTGCCTCAACGAGAGTTGGGTGATGAATCCAAGCCACTCCTTGCATAGACCCGATTTTTCCTATGAAAATTGGGGAAATTGGGGGTTTTAGATGCTTTGTATGCTTGATGGACTTGGAATTGATACACCATGAAAGCGGGGCAATTCCTTGTTCTAATCCTTGTTTAT